TAATCCCCTCCCTTACAAAAAGAAAAATCTTTGGAAACTAGAAGAGCTGCCCAATAACCAGCTTAATATTTCCATCTCTTTTACTTTTGGGAGGGAAAAATACTGAGGGAAAAAAAAAAACATGTGAGATGTTTATTGTTACATTGTGTTGCATTGTACACTAGGTATCTGTTCGCTTAGTCACCAGTGAGTCAATGAGTTTATGCAGGTTATACCCTTAACAAAAATCTGTGTGGCTAATGTTTGTGTAAAGTGGGCATTTCTTATTTACCTGTTAGACCTACCAGACTTCTAACGCACAGAATGTCTTTGTTTGCACTGCTGCATGCAGTATACCCACAAGATGGATAGCCAGACATTCAGAGAGATTTTGAATGGCTAATGCACTTATGCACAAACACTTTTCATATATTAAGTAGCTATTTACTTTATTCTTGCCCCTATTGGGCTTTTTGGTGACTTATAAAAACTGAGATGAGCTTTGCTAGATTGTGCAAAATAAAATTCCTTTTGTTTTCATTCAAGATGGACAGCAGCAGTAAAGATACCCTGACATACACACACAAGGAAAACAGATTTGTTTTGACAGACTATTATACTACAGAAATATTTATGAATGTAAGCTGCAGCAAAGTGCATCAGTCTTAGAGAATGCAAACCCTGTATACCATGTTCACTAATTTAACAGCAAGACAGGGAGAACTGAACAAAGCCTACTTCATTTTTGCTTAAATAAATAGACTTAATAGTCTAGCAATTTACCATTGAAAAGACTTCTTAAATGTCATATTTTTCACAAAATAGGAATATTTCTTGCATACACTGTTAAGTGACCACCCTTTATTTTGCAATCAAAGATCAGAGCTGGCAGAACTGAAGTGGTTTGGCAGCTGCAGAGATGAAACTGAACTGAACAAACAGTTTCTTAAGTGATGCTTGGATAGAAGAATTTGGAAACTGTTCAGCTTTTTTTTGAATTCATTTAAATGTGTGAATCCTGCTTGTTAGACGCTTGGGAGTAATTTTTATATATGGCACTGTATTTTATGATGATGTTGGGAATGCAATAGAAGAAAAGTACTAAGAGAAATTTATTGTAGCGAAAGGTACAGCTTTATTTACATTGCTAATGTAGTCAAGAGGTTTCGTTGCAATTTACATAGATGACATTAATAATTCTTTATTTTTGTTGCCCACATCTAATAACTGAGTCCTGTTTTATAAAGTGGAACCTTCCTATAGACTATGGCTAACATATATCCACAGTATGTATTCAGTGAAGGCATTAAGGATTAGTGGAGAAACACTTGCTTTGGAAGTTTTAGGGAAGTGTTATCCATCAAGGTTTAGAAATGACAGCCTCATCAACGAATTTCTGCAGAGCCAACATCTCCAAATCATTTTGCTTGTCAAATACAGAGTCATTTCATATTACTTTCTGCAATAGGAAGTGCCTTCATAGTTTTCAGTCACAACAGCATCTCTTTCGGGACAAGCTTCTCCATTGTTGCACACTTGCAGAGTTGTTCTTCAGTGCTTTGGTTCCATCAGCTTCCACTCTTCAAGGTATGAAAATTCTTAATTTATCAGAAATTGATGAGACAGACGTTCCTCGTTGTCTAAACTATCTTCTCTGCTGGAGAATCCAAGGAAGAAAAGATGACAACTCGTGCAAAGAGTAGCTTCCTTTATCTAAGCAACAGCTTCTCATTCAGCATGAGGTCTTCATAGCTAATGAGGATTTTGGTTGTACTGGCATTTGGTCACACTAAACAGGGCAGCCAACTGGCTCTAGCTTCAATGTTTTGATGCTTCAGTGAGTTTTATCTTTTCACTAGATTCAGTACTTTCTATACAATGCAATGAGGACTCCACAGATGCGCTGCATTATTTTTCAGCAGCAGTGATATGGATTTTTGATAGGCACTTTAGTGCATTGGGGTTATGGGAATGGGTTTGGTTTGAAGGAACAGATTATGTACATTCAGTTATCCCAAAGGTATTGGTTATTACTCTGAGGTTAACATGCAGGAAATAATGGAAATTATTGGAAAATACTGGGTCTGAACCTACATTACTTGCTCACAGAAATCAACAGATTTTGGATGTGCGAGATATGTAGATGTGGTCCAGCAGAAGTACTTGTACAAGTGTTTTATGATCTACAGTGATAACTCTACAATGTTGATCCCTCACTGCTGCTGAATGCTGAGCTAACCCTGGACAATTTATTTGCCATCCTTTGTGTCCTTCCTCATTACAACTCATCTTGAAGCACATACCTGTCCTCTGCCACCAGCAAGTCCTATAATCTGTTGTTTGAATTACCGTAATGCACAGAAATCCCACTATCCAAGAGTTTTCTCTTTGTCTAGGCACTTATGGTCTACATTGGCAACATCTCTAATATATTTCAGGGTTTATCCTCACAACATCCTTGTTATATTGTATCATCACCTCCATTTTACAGAAGGGAAACTGAGGCACAGATTAACTGACTTGCCCAAGGTGGCAGAATCAGGGATTGAATCCCAGATCTGCATCTGACTTTAACAACTTAACCATAAGACCATCCTTCCATCCCATGACAGGCATTTTGTCAGAGCATAGACTTCAGATAAAATTTTTAAATGCATATAGGTGACTTAGGTCCCTAGATACCAGTGATTTTCACTAAGCACTGTGGAAGAGTCGAATTACTGCTTGAGCACCCCCTTGTGACTAGGCACATCATTGCAGGTTCTCTTCTCTCTGTCAGTGGTCACTCCAGGCCTGTGGTAGTCTGCCTCTCCTTGTGACTCAGCCCTCTGGCAAAGTCACATTGTAGTCTGACCCCTTCCAGGGTAACAAGAAGTCCAACAAACAACAGTCTAATGTCCTTACAAAAGGTTTTTGGCCCCAACTCTCGGCCAGTCCAGGGACCCTATGACCAGCAGCCAAGGTCTGTTCCTTCAGACTCCTTGTAGTTGCCTCCCTGGACTTCTTCCTGTCACAGTCTGTCAGCAGGCCTCTTCCAAAGAAATTCATCCTTCTTTCAGCGCTGGCTGGCTCTCAAGTCTCTCCTCTAGAATCCCCCAATAAAGCCTCAAACAAAAAGTACTACTTAACCCACCTTCTGCCCTCCACAGGCTTAATCTTTCATCCCAGCCATATATCTCTACATAGGAGAGGATCACAGGGCCAACTCTCCCCCTGGGATTCCTCCTTGACCCTCCTCATCTCACTAATCCCAGAGAATGATTACAAAGTTTCTCCTTGCAGCCTCTTTCTAATCTGTGCTTCTCTTCTTTATGGTCACCATTCAGCTCCTTCCCCATCTCACCTTCATCTTTAATTAAGCCTGAACCATCCTCCAGGTGCAGCTAAATGGGGTTAATTGGCCTCTCAGGCCCAAATCCACCCTTTCAGAGCCAAAATGTCATTTATACCCCGTCACAAGCACTTAAAAATTGTATGGCTTCAGAACTGGACACTAGTTTGGGGGGGGGGGGGGTTAGCCTGCTGTGTGCCCCACAGTTCAACAGAGTTTCTGCCCTTTCCAGGATTGAACACTGCAAATCCTAAAATATTGTTTGATGGTGGTTGAACAAATAGTAAGGCATTGGCTAGTGCAGTAGTAATATTAATTTCCATTTAAAGGGGAAAAGGAATGTTGAAAAGCCCAGGCTACCTACATGTATTTTAAACTGGGATGGGTAAACCCATTTTGCCTAATCTCAAACCCACTCTGACACTTATTGAACGTGATCAGGTTTGTGTTTTGCTTAGAAGGGGCCTGTGGAAGAAAGAGGAACAGAGAAAGAAGAAAGCCAAATAAATATACTGTGTGCAGGCGTTGACCTGTATCAGCCAGGCTTCTTGGTTTTCTTCTGGACCCAAGACACAGTGGTCTTTTCTTAGTTTGTAAACATGTTTTTCAAAAGAATCTGCCTAGTAATAGGGGACATGGTTTAAATGGAAAACGGAATCCATAAACTAGTTTTGTGAACCCCTAAATATAGTTTGAGAGCTTTGCAAGCCTCTGAGTTTACTATCCCCAGTTTTAAGCGCGATGATGACTAAAAGGGTAACATTGTCCATTGACTTGTTTTTGCTAAAATTCTAAACACCAACAGGCCAAAATGTTATTGCTGCCTTCTGCTGGTGCTGAATTATAATAATAAAGAATTCTCTCTTTTCTAAAGCCACCGGGAAAAAAAATAGCTATATAAGGTTGGCCTCATCTGCTACTTTGCCAAGGAAGTGTTGGCTTTTTGTTCTCGCTTTTCCTCTCTTCAAATGAAATAAAATTATAAAGAAAATATACATTTTATTTTTCCACAAGTTAATTAGTTATTTACCTTCTTCAGATTTCTCCATTGCCTTGTATGTGTTGAAGGAAGGCAACATATTACTAGCAGGGACTGCTGGAAGCTACTTTAAATCTGCCTGCAGCTAAAATTTTTTATTAATGTAAATACTACTATTCTGTGTAATTTTTATAAACCTGGCTCTGCAAAAACTCTTGCTGCCACTGACTTGGATAAAGAATTATAGAAGAAATTATTTATTATGAGAGAATAATATATGTCATTGAGGACAGAATTGTAGACAATAATTAAAAGTGGTGATCTTTTTTCCATTGCGTATTCATGCAAGAATGATGAACATTTGCGTTTATGGAATGCTTGAGTTCTGACGTTACAGCTGCATGAAATCTGATGAAACGTCTCTTTCTCTTATTTTCTTACTTCCCTCATGAGGGCCCAAGTGTCAGTTGGTATTAATTTCAAGTTGTATAACTGGAGAGACTGCTTTTCTTTTGTAACAGGACTAGCGTGTGTTCTTTCTTAAGTTTGTTTACTATTCCAGTACTGTTCCCAAAGTAAAAGGTTATTATATTGTAAAACTGCAGATATGTGGTGTAACCGAACACCCCCAAAATATAATGTGCATCTCATTTCTTATTTAATGTAAACATAGAATCAGTGGTACACTTATAAAGAAGCAAAACACTGCAATATTTATAAACCTATAATTAAGTAGATTACAAATATACTTACAAAACAAGGTTAGCTTCTTACAGAGATAACATAGAGACAAATGAATTGGTGAAGTGGCATTTTAAATTTCTGAAACTGGGGTCAGTGTGACCGTCTATTTGCTTTCTTTGAGCTGTATGCCTTTTGCTTAATGCAGTAATGAATCATTAGACAGACACTTTCATTCTTGTCAGCTAAACACAAAACTTCAGGCAGTTTTTCAGTTTCACAAAGTCTTGCTGGCTGTGGTTTTGTTTTGCAAAATTGACACCAAGCTGGAATGTTTCAGGTTGTGGTTCCTAAGATCTGATGTGGGGAAATTTAAGTAGATGATAGTAGTTTAGGGCAATGATGATTAAGTAAAGGTAAGAGGGGGGGAAGCTGAGTTTGTTTTTGATCTTTCCAACTCTTGTAGTCCAGGTTTCTGCAAAATTAGACTCAGTAGTTATGAGCAGGGATCTATTTGATCTGAATCCTCACAGTTCAAGAGCTGGATGGGTGGGATTCAACTAAATAAACGGCCCATTTTGACTGCTAACAAAGACAAATTCCACACTTTTAATTTTAATAAGAACTGTTTATACATCCCAGGGATGGATGTGTCCATAAAAAGACAACAGCATTTTTCAAAACAATTCATTTGGGAAACAGTCACATGACCTTTTTTACTGCCTTTAAGATAGCAATAAAACTAGCTCAGCCAGTTAGCCCTAATGAGGGAGAAAGAGAAAACATCATCCTCTTCCCTTTACTCCATCTAATTATAATCAGTGTCAACTGACTCCAAGATCAGCTGAATCCTAATTGACCTCAGATATTGTACAGTGAAAGATAGTCAGAATTGCCAAACCAAATGGAAAAATAAACAAACTGTAATTAGTACTTAAACTCCTAATTTTCCATTTCATATTTCCCTGCTATTATTCATAATTGCAATATCTTCTTTAAAAGTTGTTTTTAAGGCTGAATTTTTAGAAGTTGGGCACCATGTAATGAATCTCTTGAAATACATAAGCGGCAAAGAGTCCTGTGGCACCTTATAGACTAACTGACGTGCAGGTGAATGTCAGACCTGTTCATGATGAAAACAGCACCTCCTTTATCAGCCTCTTTGATTATAATGTTTGGTCTACAACCCATCCTGGACAACGATCCCTCACTTTCACAGGCCTTGGGAGGCAGGCCAGTCCTCGCCCACAAACAACCCGCCAACCTGAAGCATATTCTCACCAGCAACTACACACCGCACCATAGTAACTCTAACTCAGGAATCAATCCATGCAACAAACCTTGATGCCAATTCTGCCCACATATCTACACCAGCGACACCATCACAGGACCTAACCAGATCAGCCACGCCATCACCGGTTCATTCACCTGCACATTCACCAATGTAATATATGCCATCATGTGCCAGCAATGCCCCTCTGCTATGTACATCGGCCAAACTGGACAGTCCCTACGTAAAAGGATAAATGGACACAAATCAGATATTAGGAATGGTTATATACAAAAACCTGTAGGAGAACACTTCAATATCCCTTGAGCACACAATAGCAGATTTATAGGTAGCCATCCTGCAGCAAAAAAACTTCAGGACCAGACTTCAAAGAGAAACTGCTGAGCTTCAGTTCATTTGCAAATTTGACACCATCAGCTCAGGATTAAACAAAGACTGTGAATGGCTAGCCAACTGCAAAAGCAGTTTCTCCTCCCTTGGTGTTCACACCTCAACTGCTAGAAAAGGGCCTCATTCTCCCTGATTGAGCTAACCTCGTTATCCCTAGCCTGATTCTTGCTTGCATATTTATACCTGCCTCTGGAAATTTCCACAACACGCATCCAGCGAAGTGGGTATTCACCCATGAAAGCTTATGCTCCAATATGTCTGTTAGTCTATAAGGTGCCACAGGACTCTTTGCCGCTTTTACAGATCCAGACTAACACGGCTACCCCTCTGATACTTGAAATATATATTATTTATTTCTGGAGGCAAGCAGTAAGTACCATAGAGACGTTCAATAGGAAATAAAATAGTGATGAATATTAAGTACATCATTCAAAGTTCCTTCCAGGGCTGCAGAATTCACTCTGTTTTGAAAGTGACACTTTCTTTCCTGTCCAGCTTATTTTAAACCAAAATTTCAAAGATTCCCTAAAAGACTTTGCTTAATTTTAGGAATGTGACTACATTGACTACAATGTGACTACGTGTATGCTTAAAGTCTTGTGTGTGGGTTTGGCAGTATTTGCAGGATCGGGGACTAAATTTGCACTTACAGTTTTACAGGCACAATCAGTTTGTGTGTTGCAATAATAGAATTTTAATTCACACACAGGATTTGCCCACAAAGAGAAGTTAGCTAGATCTGTTCATACCTGAATGGCACACACAAATTCTGTTTGCATAACCAAACCAAGGTGATGTTCCTTTGAAATCTTGCTGTATATTTACAGGTTTCAGAATAGCAGCCGTGTTAGTCTGTATTCGCAAAAAGAAAAGGAGTACTAGTGGCACCTTAGAGACTAATCAATTTATTTGAGCATAAGCTTTCGTGAGCTACAGCTCACTTCATCCGATGCATTCAATGGAAAATACAGTGAGGAGATTTATATACACACAGAACGTGAAAAAATGGGTGTTATCATACACACTGTAAGGAGAGTGATCACTTAAGATGAGCTATTACCAACAGGAGAGCGGGGGGGAGAAAACCTTTTGTAGTGATAATCAAGGTGGGCCATTTCCAGCAGTTAACAGGAACGTCCGAGGAGCAGTGGGGGGGCAGGGGGGGAATAAACATGGGGAAATAGTTTTTACTTTGTGTAATGAAATATATATATATTTTTGAAATCCCTAATCCTGGCTTCAAAGATTTTATTAGAATAACTGAATCCCTGTATTAATCTCACCCTGTATATTCTGACACTTATACAAGTAGTGTTAAAATCCCATTTATTTTTTATATTCTTTTATGTGAACAAGAGAGTCATTAACTCCCCAATCCCAGAAAATGGTGCTTTTGCTCTGTTGCTCGTGTGGAGTATCCCAGTATAGGGAGCAGTTTCCTGCATTGCAAGATCCATTCAGAGCCTTCGCATTCACAAGTGAAATATTACATCTGTGGGAATTATCACCTATAACAGTGCTAACTTTTGACGCAGATGCTTTTTGTTTATAGCCCCAAATCTGAAAAGAGAGGCTCTTGCTGGTATTGTACATTAATTTACTAACCTTAGCAGTCTGAGGAATAGGTTGCTGCAACTGTATAGGGTTTGCTGTCATAAACAATGACAAAAATATCTCTTGGATTCTGACTGTGACAACCCACTCCCCTTAGTCATAGCCCATGCCACTCAGTATCTCCTAATATTGCAACAGTGATTCCTAACTTCTGGTTATAAGAACTCCTCCAATAGTCTCATTTGCTGTATACTTCACAAACTATCTTAAGCTGTGCTACTGTGCTGACCTCTCCCCTCCCAGAGGTAACTGCCTTTCAGTAGTGCCTGGTGTGGTTCATGCATGTGTTTATTTTTAGATTTGTTCTTGTGGAAGTGCCCATCAAATGTACTGGACAGAGTACTAACATTTAAAAGATACTGCTTAATAGAGGGGGACAAAGAATGATATCCCATCAGCCATAGCAAACTCTCCCCAACTCACTCTCTACCCACTTGGAGAAGAGATCTGAGACACAGATCATCAGGGAGAATTCTGTCCATAGTTTGTATAAACCCTCTGTATACTTTACTGTGAAGTTGGTATATACATGTAAGATATTATTATCATTATTTAAAGTGATATTTATATAAAGAGACAATCCCGGCAATATTTCCAAAGCAGCTGCTTTATTGCCAAAGGGGAGTTGGAGAGCATAAATTCAGTGGGTGAAATAGGAACTTCAGTGGAACCAGGAATTTCACCTAGTGTCTTGCCTGAAATTTATCATTACAAACCGACAACTGACCCTGACATACTGTACCTTATTAGTGCAAAATATGCTCCTGCAGCAGTGATATTTACAGCTTTCTGGTTGCTCAGTTGTGCATGTTATGAACAGCATAAATGCCATTTTGGAGGAAATTGCAGGTACATAACGTAGCTGTGAGGATGATCCATGAAGCCTGCACTGCTGTAGCATGTTCTCTGCTCACTATTCTCCAGGACTTGGAAGTCTGCAGAGAGCGAGGATTCTGTTATTATTTAAGGAGAAAAATAAGGAAAAAAAATCATCATCGTAAGCTAACACCACCACAGTGTTTCCCAGTGTGATTCTTATCATCTGTGTATGTCATCACATGGTCCATATATTTGTTCCTAGCTCTGCCATTGACTTGCAGCATGACCTTGGTCAAGTCATTTATTTTTCTGTATCACAATTCCCCACCTTAATGTAAAGTGAAGATAATATTGCTTATGTAACTTTGAAACAGCTTTGAGATACATAGATTAAAAACACTAAGTGCTAAGTAGTATTATTTTAGTCTATGAAGATATAGGGTTATGAAACTGTCCTTACATGTTTTTCTTACAGTGCTGAGCATACTGTTCGTGTTTAGCAAGTAAATAACAATAGAAAGAAAGAAAAAGGACTGTGAAAAATGTTAGTTTTTTCCCTCCAAAATAAATAAATAGCTTTCAACAGTTTTGTAACTGAACAGGTTTTTTGAATGTTCATGTACAAAGATTGATCATTTTCTCTGTTGGACCAAGGGATTTAAGGTACAAGAAACATCTAGGAAGTGAAAACCCACATTAAATTTCAACAATTTGTTCTTCATGTACTAGGTTAGAGCAACTGGATCCCTTAGTTAAGATATGTCAGATTAAACTATATATAAAATAGCATTATAGATAGAATGTATCTAGTCATTTCTAAATAAATACTGGCAAATACGAGAGCAAAATCTGGGGATGGATACCTGCATTAGAGTCACTGAACAATTAACTAGGAATTTCATCTTTTATTTGACTAGAAAAACATTCCATAAATCAAATCGCAAATTTTGCTATAGAACAATTCAAGTAAAAGCCTCAGTTATATTATCCCTTCTATACTTTTTCAATGTAATATGGCTTATTCTTTAGGGGGATTTTTTTTTTTACCTTATTGTATACAAACTTATTTGAAACAGCATGAGCTGTCTTGTCAGGTACTAGATATCATACATCGCATGAGATTCTGTAATACAGAGATACCATTTCCAAACAATTAGGTATTTTGATTTTAGTCTAAAATCTTTTACAAATCAATATATTTTCCTTTTTAAAATAATTCTTCTGATGTGTTTCATGACAATGCAATAAGCACAATTGGAAACGAAGAAAAGTGGCACCTTGTTGTTCAATATGAGAGAGAATCAAAGCAAATATTTTTTCTGGCTTATATGATCCTTTAGTTCTTTAATGCAGAGTACAATTCCCAGGTAAAATCAGGAAAATCCAAGCTTTTAAACACTCACTGACAGCTTGGATGAATTTCTACATTCTTTTAGTAAGACTGTTCTTTTCAACAGGACATATAATAAAGGGATGACTATAAGGATTAAATACTAATGTGAGAAAGAAATGAATCTTAAGTTAACAACCACAAAGAATGACTATGGGTATGTGAAGCATTTGTTTTCAAGACATTATGATGTTTTAAGCACATACCTAGTACTTTCTACACATGCTGAGTAACCAGGCTAATTAAAAAAGCCCATATAGCTCTTGTTAAAATCTGTTCGAATTTTTGGAGCACCTGTTATAACAGAATGCCCACAGACTTGATAGTTTAGCGCCAAGACACCTGCTACCTTATGTCTCACAGTATGTTCAGTTTTATACTGATAGTAAAAGAAAAAAATCCACTTTTGGACATTTAACAATCTCATAAATGATAAGAAATAAGTCTGAAAATTTAGTGATTTAACCCTTCCAGCGTCACTTCTTATTGCTATACCTATAGTTTTCTGTGAGCAGGCAGAATATACAGACAATGTATAACCCTGGGACCATTTCGTTTCTTTGTTGCTGAAGCCATTATATCCAGTATTTACAATGCTGAGCAGGAGGCATAAACCACCCTGCATTTTATTCCAGAGATTTTACAACTGTAGCTAGTATAGTCAGTGGATATTTCATGCATAAGTGTAGTTTATCTGAAGAAAGGAATGGGCATTATATTTCTAGCTAGTTTCTACTTTGTATCCTTGATCTATTCCCATTTTTTGCTACAAAGCTATAAAAAGAAATAAAGCAACATGAGACAATTATCCTTTCTCCCTCCGCCCCTCAAAAAACTCCCCACGTTGTTCAACAAATTCTGTGATTTTGCAGCATACAGAGAAATGTCTCAGTGAATGTTTTTATTAATAGATGTGTATAAGTACTGTTCTCTTTGGAAGGAAGTAAACACCAGGAAGAGAATGAATTATTAAAGATGTTACTAGAGAGTATAAGCAGGTGTAATTAAAGGACAGAAAAATATTTAAGCTGAATATTATGAATAACTCACTGACAATGGCCCCAATCCTTCAATCACTTATGCATATAGATAAATTTACACATTTGGACCCATTGTGGACTAGGACCACTGAGGGCTATTATAGATTCCCAGGGTGCAATCCGGTATATTACAGTAAATGGGAATTTTGCCATTGATTTAAATGAGGTCAGGATTTCCCCCTTAGATTTTAAGGCCAGAAAGGGCCATTATGATCATCTCCCCCAATCTCTTGCATAACACAGGCCATATACTGTAGTTCAACAGGGAGCAATCTTTTAGAAAGACATCTGATCCTGATATAGATTTCAAGTGATGGAAAATCCACCATATCCCTTAGTAAAATAATCTCCAATTAGCAGCAATGTACACGAGTGCTTTTTTCCCCCATCAGCATCCGGCCAAGAGGTTGAGACCTCTCCCCCTGATGTAAATCTCTTTGACAGACATCCATGGCTTTGCCATCTCTAGACTGGATTAAAGCAGTGCAATCTACAAGGGGCTTTTCTTAAAAAACAGTTTGCAACTTCAGCAAGGAGACTATATAGCAACCTGAAAAATAAGAGCACTTTACATTAGTGGTCCATAAACTGTATTGGCATCCAATTTGTTCCTGAGTACAAGTAATGTTGTTGCTTTTACGCTTTATGATTTGGGTGTAATTTTGTGTCATACTATGCTTGCTCGGTTCAGATGAAGTGACCAAAAATGACAGACCCCTAGATTTGTTCATCTGGAATTGTAAACAGGGTATTCATAGCAGCTCTGAAATTCACTTCTCATGCTGCCAAAAGCCCAGATGTGATGGTTTTTAGGATAAGTTACTAAGCCTGTCTAGTTATCCAGACTTTAAATGTCCAGGTGTGGTTGAGTGGAGACACCTTCAGGTCCATCTTCAAACTTAGTGAAGTGGGGTTTGCTTGGTATTGGAGTTTGATTTATTTTTGAAAAGCGGTTCAATTATAAATGTATTCACGTACCTATAATTTAGTGATAGGTACACTCTAGAAATGGAACTGTAAGCCTTTTGAAGCAGCGACTGCATGTTCCTATGTGAGTGGATGGCGCCTAGCACATTTTAGGTGGTAGAGCACCTCTGCTGATCCACTGTGTTAGCTGATGTTAGGACCATGCAGAAAAATGCTACCTCACTGTGGGAAGGTCTGTGTACTCTGTTACTGTTACACATTTATGTTGCTATACAAATACATAGTGAATGACAGTCCCTGCCTCAAAGAGCATACAATCTAAAAAGGCATGAGAGGTGAATGAGAAAAAAAACGTGGGTTGGGACGGGGAGCAGGGAAGACAAAGTATCAAATATAGGATGTACACAATTTTTAGGATGTACACAATTAGTTGGGAGCAGGTGATTTAGCTCATTCGGACAGTAAAATAAATACACTGTGAGAATGAATATGAAAATAATAATCTAGGTGTTGGGGAGGGTTAAACAAAGATTTAAATTTTCTAAACATTTATTTGTATTTAAATTTTTTCTCATGAACAGACTTTATGTACTAGAAACTTTGGTGTTTAACACTTCTCATCTCCAAGTACAACTGTTGAAAATTTAACCTAGGAAAACTAATTGGTATCAGACACTAAAATTTCTTGCAAGTTATGGGAAGTGTTAGTTGTGGGAATAACATTTTTTCCATACTCTGCATATTGATTTGCCTTTGAGATAAAAAGCATCAAGAAAGCAGGTGATAAGCCTTTGTTAATGCCTCTGTGATGAAATGCTGCAGCTACAGGCTACTGTTGATAAACAGGTTTTGAATTAATTAGTTCTGCATAATTATCTGAGCTATCAAGTCTCTAAAGCCGAATGAGACTGGTTTTCATACTAGTTATACACCTCTTGACAGCCATGAAAAATGTTTTTTATTTTCAAAAAGATCATCACTTAAAAAAAACCTAGCTTTTACTAGAATAACAAAATATTATTCTACTGTAATGGTAGAAGAAATATTAATGACAATTACTCTTGTTGAATTACAGAGACATGTAGCAGAACACTTTTGAGATTGCTGGTCAAACGGCTGGTAAAGGAAGAGATGGGCACTAGACTTGAATATATGTGGTAAAGTCCCTCTGCCTTTTGGGCTATGAATCCTTAGTGAGGAGGGGGCACATAGACCTCAAAAGGCATTGGAACCAGGGGAGGAGGCTGGAAAAGCTTTGCATGGATGTTTGTACCTGTTGAGTGCCATATCGTATAGCAATTAAATGTGAATATAATGCTTGTGAGTTGCTGCATGCATTAAGTTCATTTATAATATCCATACTCTATGTTATAAGGTAATATTTAAGTGTTTTATTCTGTAACTATAAAGGTGTTTGCTATGAAACTGGAAACCTCCACAGTCAGGGGAGAAGAATTACCGAGTCTGAAATATCAGTTTACCACAAGAGATGTCATCTCCTGCCCAACAAAACAAGGCCTCTAAACATCAGACAAGCTATTGCAGAACATCAGTGGATTGTTCCCTCTACACCCATGAAGAGGAGATATGTACAAACACTCATCCCTTCAGCTTGAGGTCTGGGGAAAAGAAATAAATATCCCTGTCAAGAAGAAATTGCTCTCACTATACTGCTTGCAATTTGGAGAGGGCGATATTTCTAAACATAAGCAAGGGATCCCTGAACAGCTTACCTTAAAGGTCATAAAGTATAGAGCTTGCACGTTACAGTAGCTTT